TTAATCAGTGCCAAATGAGCCGTCAGAAGGGGGGGGGAGAGAGTTGTAAATCATTCGTGGATTAAAAAAGGACACGTGGAAAAGGAGTGACCCCTAAGGCATAAAAAAGTGTGCACTCACAGCGACTAGTGAGGAAGATCTCGATGGCAATGTTCCGAAGCAAATAACGTCTCGTAAAGACAGCTCGAATCTCCGAAAAAGGCCATCGACCGTAGAGGTTTTCTGCGTACGCCAGAACCTGAGTGATTAAAGTGAGAAATAGATAATGACGCACGGAGTATATTTTGCAGATGCTACAACCAGCAAGACATATTTGTCCATCAATCGGCGTGGCTTGGAATGACCAGCAAAGGATCAAAGGCATAAAACAGGACGCCTATGGGTGTAGAGGTAGCAGTGATAGTGGTAGAAGTGAATGGTTCGTGACAAGGAAACAAAACGGGCTTACTTGAATTAACATGAACAGCACCTAAGCGATTATGGCTCACATATAAGTGACAGCAGCTCCAACATGCAACCTACTGGTAAAAGTTGCAGAGGGTAGACGCACAGTTAGACATTCCAAGTACAAGGGATCCCAGTACCACAAACGAGTGACTAAAAGGGACTACAGTCGCCGGTGTGATTGTCATAAGTGTGGGCAGTTACGGTTGGCAATGCAAGACTTGACAGCGCATGAGGTAGATGATAATTAGCAGTTTGAAGTGTGTGCAAGTAAAACTGTTTGAATCCTATGTGAAAAAAACGGCACATCCAAGGACCGCTGGCCGCCAATCAACAGCATTGTTTCCATGCCAACATTTTCAGGTGACGAAAATAATACCGACTGAAAGTATCCTCACCAACGTATTCGGGCGTAAGAGAGTAAAAGGAGACCAGGAGAAGAAGGGTGGCAAATATTTGAACAAAGAAACCTACCGCTTCATCGATCTCCTTATTCTGCTCGTGAAGAGGGTCTGTCTCGAAGGAGAAGTCCGACTTTGTTACGCAGAGCGTACCATGGACATTGGCAACGGCGGAAATCAGGAGACAGGGTGTGGAGAATACAGGAGGGTCTAGAGTAAGGGGAGAGGTTGTAGAGGGAGAAAAGAAATTGAGCAAAAAGCCGAAACATTAGACTACTAAAAATTTGTGAAAAAAGATACCAGGCCGACTACTGGGCGTCTACTTTGACGTTCTTTGTAATTAATCTTGAGGTTAAGTAGATTTTCCCAGGCCGCATATCACGTGAATACTTTCCTAAAAAGCGATTTCATGCATCGCTAGTGTGTTCAAGGGCAGAATGAGTATGTCAACTCTCATAAGTGTCCCAGTACGAAAATGTCCGTTAGTCTAAAAAGGCCACTACAGTGACTCAGACCAAGGAGAGAAGTGAACGATTTTGTAAAGTGTCGAAGCAAATGGTGTAAGAGACTGAGTGAGTTATTACAAAGAGTGCAGATCTTTCAGGCAGTTGCCTAGACCGGGCATCCAGGTAGAAAAATAAGGACGATTCCCAGGTTCCACTAAGGAAAATTTTTTATTTGCATTTGTCGATCGATTTTTTTCGAAGGAGTGACAGATAATCCAACCATTCAAGTTAATGGGAGAAACGCTGGTAAATATTACTTTTGGCAAATGCTTTTCATCAAGGCTGAGGAAGCCCCCTGACCACCCGCAAAAGTGTGAGATGGAGCGAGGGGAAAATGGGTCGAATTCACTCGATAGAATAAAAGTCAGTTTACAACTAAAAAAACGGTAGCTGATGATAAAAGATGAACATGGCCGTCGAAAAGTTCATCAAGTGAAATTGTTTGCTAAACGTGGTACTTAACAGAGTGAGCAGAAGTACCATTGTATGAAAAGTAGAAGTCCAGAGAAAATGATGGTGGCGACGCAGACAACACTGAGCGGTATGAACCTGAGCTCCGGGGCGTAATTACAGGTTTCCGATAGCATTTGAAGACATCAATAACAACAACTCATAGATACGCATTGTAAGGTTGAAAACAACAAACTTTTAGTTGTTTAAGGACCCCTACAGTGACATAGGGCAAAATAGTACGACCGTTATTGAAGCCATGAGGAAAAAACCCTCCCGGGACAGAGTAGTAATGTTGACGTTCTAAGCAGTCTGCCACGAACTTTGCTCGTCATATGCACATAGGGAAAACAAACGGGCTAAGGGCAGTTTAGCTAAGCAGACGGAGGATGTGAAAATGAAATATGGGAGCAATGCGTTTATCTTAGAAATAATGTGGTCGGAGACGGCAAGATACAGTGAAGTTTGACCGTTCACTGAGTTGAAGAGCGAACAAAATAGAACAATTGTGGTGAGCACCACGGTGGATAGTGTTAAACATACGATTTGCCAAGGTATGTACAGGCGTCGGACGTCGATACTAATGGTCGAGTGCTACCGAGCATCGGACAGAGGGCGACTTTCAAGAGGGATTATAAGTCCCTAGTCGACTCTGCTCTACTCGGTGAAAAGTTCAACTACTACAGTTTCCCGATTTAAAGTTGAACATCTGTATTGACTGTGCTGGTAAATTGCATGAAAGTCCCAGGATCTGAGTCATTCCCTCGGCCTTTTGCAGCTCACTTATGGTCCCATAAATCTCAGTTAAATGCAAAAACCACAAAGATCACACGCAACAGATAACAGAACGACGAGAAATAAGTTGGCGAGAATTGTTACCGACAACATCGTCGTCTGGGAGATGGAAGGCCTTTTGGTATAGGTTTTCTGCAAACATATTTTATTTAAAGATAATTATAAGGTCGGCCTAAGTGCCAGAGGCTACGGTCAACTATACATATAGCCAATCCTCCAGGAATTTTGAAATCTTGCATACAACAGTTTTACATGGATTGAGCCCCATTGAAGAAAACCTTGTTAGAAGACTAAAATCGCTAGTACCTGGGAATGGCCCCGTTTTCCACCAGTTATGCAGATAGCATGTCTAGAACACAACACGTCACACAAGAAAAAGATTAAGACAATCCTCCGTGACGTATGCAGACGATTGTATCACCAAACCCAAAGAGGTGCAGTGGAAAAATGACAGGTACATCTGACACGTACCGGGGTGGCTCTGCGGCCCTCCCTCAATTCCCATTTTGCCAGTAAAAATAGACGGCAAGACACAGAAAAGGAGGTTGCATTAAACGCACGGTAAATGCGGGTTGAGACAGCAAACTGTGAAGCGGTAGAAAATTGGTAACGTGATCACATACTGAGTCTGTCAGAAGGCGGACAATCAAACCCGAATGTCATATCCCCCCAGTTGTATGTAAGGAAGAGAAGGCAGAGAGGATAGCAGAGAACAGTTTCTGTGTGATAATCTAACTCTGCCTGTGTCTCTCAACTTGTCCCGTGTCCGTCAGCAAGTCGTCCTGTCTGCAGCTTGTCTTCTATGTGTCGGCAGCAGAATGCGCCTTCTGTTCGCAGCCTCCTATTTAAGGGCCAACAGCCTTTGTTCCCTATCGCTTCTTATTGGTTCCTCCGCGAGGCGCTCATCCGGGCAGGCGTTGTGTGATGCTG